TTTTTTCTTAATATTTTTCAGTCAATACCCATGTCCATGCTGATCATATCACAGGAACAGGTATCCTTAAACAGTTGACWGGGTGCAAGAGCATGATATCTAAGGAAAGTGGAGCTTTTGCTGATATGCTCCTTGATGATAAACAGGAAATCAACTTTGGTGAACAGGTATACCATCAACCCAGGCCCCAGGCAAAGGCTCCTTTTTGTCTAGGGAGTAGGGAATGGGATCAAGGTTGCCTCCCAACTATTGCTCAAGAGAAAGAAAAAGGATGATGCTCATGCTTTTGTTATTGTCTCACGCTTTTAGCAAAATGCAGATTATCTGTGGTATTRCATCATAATCCCTTGCGTCACACGATCAAAAACTAGTCTGTGACAAGGTATGAAACACCCATCACATGACAAATTTAAATTTTGCTCACAGAAGAGTTTTTGATCCAATAAGACAAGGGATCATGACCTATACCACAGGTAATCCACATTTTGCTATGTAGGAGTGTGTTATAATTGAGGCAAAATTCGCAAGTAGGCTATTGCAAAAGGGGCATCAAATCAACCAATGAGAATACTAATTTAGATAATATATATCTGTTTGCTGTCTTGCAATAGGCAATGTGCAGCATATCATTTTGTACATGATGGTAGTTGTAGCTAGTCCTCATACTTTTTTATGTCTGCTACAACAGACATCCTTCCAAACATTTCTTTCTTTTCTGAGTAAAATAGAAGTCGTTGTACTTTTTCTCAAAGAAAATATTCAAAACGGTTTTAAGGAGATATTTTAGGGTCTATAATAAGTACAAGGACTACAACTACCATCATGCTTATCTGCACAAAATGGGGTCGCTTCACATTTGGCCAGGAATGTTTAAGCAAAGGCAGTATATTATTTGGCTGATAAACTGATGATATACAGGTGTAATCATGCATCTTCCAGGAATTACAGGGATGTACTTAAATGGGCTTCCACAAAGCATTTAAAACGAGTCTTGTGATTGGTTTAGAAAACAATGGACAAACTTGAATATAAAGCAAAACCTATGTTAGGCCTCAGAGGGTTTAGACATCTACAATCTTTTGCAATACAAACGGAACACCTTACCCCCTTTCCCCACTGCAATGTTGGATACACGTTAACTGTACATCCAGGACAATTTTCAACCGATTCCATCTTCAAATAGGCGGAAAACAACATGGCAAAGAGGGAGGGGCGGTTGTAGTAACACAAACGTGGAAGGTGTTTCACGTTATTTTGCAATAGATTGCAGCTTTTTTTGAGTTGAGGTTCATTTCCTTTAACTTTCATATTTTTTTCGTATTTGAATATTTATAGCTAGTCTGTCCTAAGGTGTTTATCCTAAGGTGTTTATCCTTTCCCTTTTCCCAGTATTTGGTGTTAAGTTATATAGTCTATTTATGTATATGTGTTTTGTACATGTATTTGTATATGTAATATAATATGCTTCAGTTATGGAAAATAAAAATTAAAGTAAAAAAAAAGATTGTAGCTTTATATACAGCTCACTGCTTAAACAGCTTTCTCTCTTTCTGCAGACACTTGAAGCTCGGTCAACACCAGGACACACCAACGGTTTGTGTACAAATTTCAGTAATTCTTTACAGCTAATTCAGAAAGCTAATAATGAACAACTTTATCATATAATTATCTATGAGATACCTATATTTCTCCATTTTGTAAAGTTTTTTCACATTCGAGGTCTCTCGGAAGTAAGTGGAAGTAAGAAAAAAGGTATTTTACGACATTTGCTTTCATATGTAATTATATGACAGATATGATGAACAGAATATTACATGGTCGCTTGGAGATACGAATTTTATCTTCTCCTGTTTAAAATTTCTCACGAGTGAGTATAGCAAACAACACTCGAAGAAAAAAATCCGTATATCCGCGCGGGCATGTAATATCCTCTAACTTTATTAACGTTTAATAATAATGATAATAATAATAAATAGATTAATTAACTATAAAAAAGAAACTTGATAAACGTCTCAAATCGGTGTAGCCAGACAACAAGTACTAATTGAGGAGACTCAGATCCACACTGCCTCAACATTCATTGTTTTCAGCATACGACACTCCTCACAGCTAGTTTTGACTGAGGGAGGAAAACCAGCGTACATACAGAAAAACCCTCGGAGCAAAAAGAGAACCAGCAACAAATAGTTAATTCTTTAGGATTCTCTACGCCTAGAGGGTGAACGTGACCACAAAAATCACCGCAAAAATCACCATTGTAAACGGGACTTGAGTACACAAAGTGCTACATTGTATTTGAAATTATATTTTTTTATATAATACACAATTTTCATAGATGGCGGTAGTTCATGACTGTCCATATCGGCAGACTAGCGACGAATCATTGAAACGAGACCTCAAAGGCCTTCCATCTAGAAATCACTAAACAAAGATCGCATGTACCGAAGGGTAGTATCCAAAAGTTTCAAAGATGTATTGGTATGTCATTTATAACAAAACACTCTTGCAAGACAATTAACATTTAAGTTTACTATACGGAGGATCGTTTTTGAGACCTCGTTTTAGTGCTTCGTCCCAAGTGCACTGATCAGCGGCCGTGACATATCGCGACATTTTTGAATGTCGTGACTGAAGAATGTTTTTGGTACACTCCAGGTTGTATGACGTTTGTTCATCATGACAGCAAAATGGCTTTCACAGGAGATGCATTACTGATTAGAGCGTGTGGACGGACAGACTTCCAAGAAGGTATGTCATCTTTAGGTGGTCTCCTATATTTACTGTCTACCTAATGTCAAAGTCCGTGCAGGTCCTTAAATCCTTGAAAAGTTGAATTGAAAACTCATTTTAAAAGGCACTTAAAACTCCTTGAAAATTTCGAAAACGTCTTTGAAAACTCCTTGACCAAGAGCTAGCGATCTCTGAAATATTCCGTTCGGCTGAAGTCTATGTCGGATATGCCAGTAAAAAATGGCAAAAAGGTTCCCTTTTCCCAAATGATGTTCTTATTTGGTGGCAGTACCTTCTGGTGGTAACTAGTCAACACCTAAGCAAGGCTTACACACGCATTTTTAAAAGCTTCTTTGTTTGCACCGATCGATTGACATTTCTGACGTAAGAATGTACAATTAGCATGATCATGATGTTCCTTGAAAATACAATTTTGGTCCTTGATAAGTCCTTATAAATTTCGTGTTTGATACTCTGCACGGACCCTGTAATTTGCAT